GCGGTCGGCGCTTAGTCATAAAGAGAAAAGGATCATAGGGACTGGTCTTGGATGACCTCGTTTTTTGCCGGAGGCGTCGCATGTCGAGAAGTTAACCGTCGGTTCGGTAAGAGATGCTGATTAAGGTCGCTCCTCATGGCAGAAATTCAGTCCGGTGATAAAAAAAAAACATGAGACCGAGGAAGTTGGAAACGAGTATGCAGTCTCGTGTCATTCCATTGGCCATGGCCAATGTTCCTAAAATTAATGCATTGCATGTGGCGTTCGCAACGACTGTTTTCTCAAAAAAGGTTAAAATTTACTTCTTCCAAGTTGTCACGTTTACAGGAGGAGTAGCGAAACTGGAAATAAGGAATTTCTACTTCTACCAGAATTCTGCTTATAAAGTGTTGCTGAACCTTTGGAGGCTTGGACTAATCAAGTTCCAACGATGAAATCTAGACCCAGGCAGTTGAACACATTAAGGTCGAATATTATCCAATCAGGCCGGACAATGGGAAAGACGCCGTATGGACCTCAGTGAGAAGGATTGTGTTCCTAGTGGGCGTTACAAACTACAGCAGGCGTGCTAACTCATAAAATGCTAACCGAAATTCTGAAATGCATTCTCGTTTCAAAAGGATTACTTAAGTTGGGTTGTAAAGTTGATCATAATGCAGCATAATTCTATCATAATTCAGCCACCTCAGGATGTCGGCTTCCGAACAAACTTCTTTTTGGCCGCATGCGAAAATCGCAATTCGATAAAAATTACTACTTAAGTAGCACGCATGTTTCTCATTGATTTTCAATGCCCTTAAAAATTCAATTATGTCATGCAAACATACATACAAAATTCATTCTTTTACTCATTTGGTAAAAAATTATGTCTTCCTTTAATCTTATACTCAATGGAAGGGTATAACTCGGCTTTAATAAACTTTTTTAATTCTCGGATAATTCTGAACATGACCTGCCGTTACACTTGCATTCGGAGTTTCCAAACTACAAGTCATATATTTTCCGTGTACGGAAAACCATACATTTCTCTATGATATTAGTGGGTTTATGAAGTTTAGCAGTGGATTTAGGCCATATTGTAAACTTTGCAAACTACATTATTAAATGCGGAGACAAGATGTTTTATGAGTGGGCATTCCACTGTATTAAAAATCTCGCAATTAGAACTTTTCTAAAAGCGAATTATGCCTTTCCTTCGAGTATAAAATTGGAAACAGACGTAATTTTCTGTTAACTGATTAAAAGAATGAATATTTTATGAATGTTTCCCACGAAATATAACTGAATTTTCAAGGGCATCGAAAATCAACGAGAAACATTTGTACTACTTAAGTAGCCATTTTTACACTGTGTGCTTTTTGTATACGGCCGGCATCGCAAGCAAACTGAATTATTACAAATTTATGCAGCATGCTGATTAACTTTACTACCGTACTTAAGGGATATTTTTGAACTAAAACACATTTCAGAATTTCGGTTGACGTTTCATGAGTTAACACACCGACTGTAGACTTCAAGTTTACTCACGTATACATAGAAGCCAAGTAGGATTGACTCCACCAAAAACAGCCACGGGACACCTCACTTAAAATTCATTCCTTGGCAACCTGTTCCAACAAAATAATTCTGGTTTGTTCCAACCGGCTGAAGTTTTTCTAAAAGATGAAAAGTCGTCACTACTGGAATCCAGTCTGTGATGAGAAAATGCTGGGCAACGCACGCCATGCTCTTCATGCAGAACGCAAAAACTCCTTTTAAAAGGGCAGAAAAATTGGCCGCCTCTAGCGAAATGAGTGCGCCTCTGATCAGCGTATGTGAAAAAGAAAGTGGTTATTAAAACCGAAAGACCCTATTTTGTTGATTTAAAGGGGAGGATAGATATTTTGGCAGATTTTGAATAATTCCTATTGACCCGACTGTGAAAAACTCGGCGCCTCGATGGCATTCGAACCCACCCAGTAAGGGGAAGGCTTTACTACAGCCAACGCTCTAACCACCTTGAGCTACGAGGTCCCGCCAGACGACACGAACTTAATCACATTTGGGTCAAGTTACCCGCCCAACCTACTGCAACGTCTATAATCTACCAAATCTGATACAGTAAGTTGACGGCCCAAGCAGGATTTTCTAAGTTATTCACCTAAAATCCACCAGATGACTACCAGGCTCAAGTAATTCAGGGATGTTTCGGCAGGTTTTAAATAATTCACTTCGACGCAAATGTGATTAAACTCTCGTTGCCCGGTTGGGCCTTGTAGCTCAAGTGGTATGAGCGTTGGCTGTACTAAAGCCTTCCCCTTACTGCGTGGGTTCGAATCCCACCGAGGCGCCGAGTTTTTCACAGTTGCGTCAATATGAATTAAAGGGGATCATTCAGATCGAATCTCCTCCGTGACGTCTCTTAACCATAAGTGATTCATGGACTAGTCCAATCCTAGTAAAATGTCCGGTGATCGTAGGAAGGTTGTAGAAGATAACGTAGACAATGTGCAAAAAATACAACCATGAGGAGTTTTGGGAACGGTCGCGGTAACTGAAACTAACCCAAACGAAGAAAGATAAAATATTCCATCAGCACGTAAGAAAACAGTCTATTCTTGCTTCCCAACTAGTTCGAAAAAAACGCTGCTAACCATCTCTGAAAGTTCGACATTGTAATGTTACTTGCATTATTTTTATTTCACTTTATTTGGACAATTCAGTTGTCGTGTTGAAGCTAACTGAGTAGATTTTGTGTGGAGATGATCTGAAGGAACCACGAGATGCCGTTCGAAGTCGTTAGGACCAGTGACCTCCCGTGAAACTGTGCGTTCGAAAAGGTGCATGTTTCCTCCGGTCAAAACCCAGCTACTTGTTGGCATTGAAGAACGGAGTACGTCGTCAGTTCAGTCGTCCACCTGCGACGTCACAGACCCAAGCTGAAAGACCGAGATTTCAACCCGTGTACACGTGCTGACTGGTGATTGCCGTATAGTTGGGCGGAAAAGTCCAGATCTCACGTTCATGTTTGAGAATTTTCGCAGGCCCGTATGAGTTGCGCTGGCAAGGGTATGGTATGTAACCCCCTGAGAAAACCGTAGTTAACCATGGCCCTAGCGCTAACCATGACTATGGCTGTAATGGGTAACTCTAGCCCTGAACCCATAAGCATTTATGGAAAACTCGAATGCAACAGTAACCCCAACCCTAGGCCTCAAATCTCTAACCCAAACTCTAAAACCGCGGCCCAAACTCATGACCCTAATTCTAGACCCCAACCTTAGTCTCCACCGAAAATCCAGACCATAGTCCAAGCCTGACAACCTCGGCCCTAGAAGTAACCCAAATCTTAGCACTAACCCTAACCCCGAACTGTATCTCTAACCCTAACCTTCAACCGGATCCGGACAACTCCGATGTCGAAAACACTAGTGAAGATCAAAATCCGCGCACCGCACGACTCTTTCGCCTACCTTTTGTCGGGCAAACTGTTATGAGCCACAGAATACCGTGGCCGATAAAGACAGGAGAGACTGGGATTACCATTTCTGGCTTATAAGCCGTCTCCGCTCAGCCATACTTAACTCCGAGATGTGTAAACCCTGCGAATTGATCCCGCAACTTGTTGGTTAGAGGTCCAACGTATTAATCACTGAGTCACGGGCTCGTTGGACTTTCGATTGCGATCGGTCATATGTAATGGTAGAGGGGCGCTCACCAATCGCGCTACGGAACTCACTCGTCCCGTTGTACCTTGGGTCTACACCACATCTTCCCAGGAAAGATGAGAAGGTAAATCTTTGGAAAACTACCCAAGCTGGTTACGTTTCCTATCCTTACCGTTGTGTTTACCAATCTTGCCTGATTGGAGCAAGAAATACAAAACCGGCCATTTTCAGCATCCTTTGTCTCTTTCAGCAATACTCCGGATATCTGGATTCGTGTCAATTGATCCATTGGCGCCCAAAGATGCCGTTCCGAACACCCAATAAATTCGCTGTTTGACCGACATTCCAGAAACTCAATATTTAAAATGACTCCTGGGCCCCTGCTCATCTCTAAGTGTGAATGCCCATTCACAGAGCCGGGTTAAGTGGAGTGTTCTGGGAATGACAACATATTCTAGCCAAATCACTAAGTGAAAAAATTCAACTGACTTTCAATGCTCTCGATCAGATTTGACAGGGCGGTGGCCCTTATTCATCCTGGCTAAAGATTGTAGCATGATTGGGTGTCGCCGAGAGGTCGGTCCGAAGTGATTACCGCGCAAAGCCTTTACATCAACACCACTCATTCGTCGTATACGACCGCCTGCAGCGCAAAGTAGAACGCCCATAATCAGTTCAAACCGGTAGGCATTAGCAAAATGGATAAGGAATAGTGGAATGGTCACATTCCGTCCTTTTCGTCATCGTCAGCTAGCCAATTCCGGCCAGGAAAAACTACAGGCCTTTAAAATTGGATCCCATTGGCAATTGAGGTTTACCATCTGAGAATCTTGCTCTCAGCCCGCGGGCTGTCAGCTGAGATCCACAATAGCCAGTCTTCCGGCAGCATCGCGCACAGATCAGACAGGAAGGTTAACGAGCGTTTCGGTCCACCTTGAAGCCCAAGCATGACAGTTCGACGTCCACTGTATGCTCCACATCAAGGCGAGAACAGGGACGGTGACTTGTGCGTGAATTAGTTTATGGCGAATGTAGACTTGCACAGCATCCACCGCACTCTCTCCTCCTCCCGCACAAGGACCTGGTATCAAGACAGAGTCAAGAAGACCGGAGACGAGTGAGGGCGCAGGTGGGTGGTACGGTCGCGCCCGCACCCTGGCGTCCAATTCACACCCCCTGGTCCCCACAGCAAATGACTGGGTTTTTGACCGACAATAACCATTGGGGAGGGGGCACGAGGATCTGCACGCACTCCTGGTGTTTGAGTCGAAGTCGGAATAGCTGATTCTCCTTGATGACGTCAATGCCAGCTTCAGGACCGATTACCCTGCCCGGGGCGATTGCTGGGTTCTCATGGGATCGGCGGCTGCAGCGACAACCGCCTCCCTCGCCTACGAACCTGCGCAGACCAGTCCTCCCCCTGACCAACACTTTCCGCCTTCCGACGCGGCAGACGACAGTTCGACCGTCCGTTTCGATGATGTCTACCGTGTGCTCTACAGCAAGGAGGAGCAGAGGCGGTGACTTGCGCGTGATTTAGTTTATAGTGACGGTAGACTTGCACAGCATCTACTGCACTCTCTCCTCCCCATTCCCCATCTCGACCCGGTGTCAAGACGGAGTCAAGAAGACTGGAATCGGGGGAGGGCGCTGGTGGATGGCACCGTCGAGCCCGCACCTTGGCGTTCCACGCCACACCCCTGGACCACAGATCAAATAACCAGGTTTTTTACCAACAACAACAATGGGGAGTGGCAGGGTCCCAGTGTGCGCGACGTCTACCGGTAACCGGGTCTGCCACCGCACCCCGAAATGTTGGAATTTGTTATGTTGCGCAAATCCGATAACGCCTGCCAGAATCCGGTATGGCCCCCGTGTCGGTCCAACGCATCTACCATGTGGCCCGTTTCGGGGGGCACTGAAGCCCACGGGCAGTCACACTGACACGAAGAAGCATTAATCAATAAGTCTCACCTGAAAGTGTGGAGATTGGTGAACAGTAAGTTGTCCGTGGACTAACTGTACAAACGATAATTCGCCCCCTGTCCCCACTCCCCCCTCCCCCACCGAACCGCAACTGCTCCCTGCGGTCCACGCACGCCGACTTTGCCACGCCGACAGAGATTACCTCGAAGTCGTCGCGAGGTGCAAACTACTGACTCCTCCACCTGGTGATGGTGCTGCCGTCAAAACATGCAGCCAGGTTGTAGATGAAAAAAAAATCCAGAGCGGCGGCAGAGTACTGCTCACACTCCAGTACCCGGTAGCTGTCATGAACGCTCAGCAGCGCTGACTAATGTCGACTTATCTGCAAGAAACGCGCGTAGATCGAGCGTGAAAGACCGTGGCAGACGCCTGTGCCTTCACGTACACCCCTTAGTGTGTGTGTACGCATGTGCGTGCATGAGTGCGTGAGTGTACGCGCGCGTGCGTACGTGCGTGCCTTTGTCAGTGGGCGGGTGTGCGTGCCCCAGGCAAGCTGCGCTGCAGTTGCGAGGAATCAACACAGGGGGACACAATGGCTTCTGATATGAGCTGGGTCTGTGTGAGACTAAACGCTACTGCCATGCTTACATGTGCGTTGCAGGCGTCAATTTGGATTCCGAGCAGTCCCCCCCCCCCCTGTTCTTCTCTTGGTGGATAAAATCTTGGTCAAGTGTTTGTCGTGGGCCAGGGGGTGTGGCGGAACGCCTAGGCGCGGGTCCGGCCCTGCCAGCCACCTGCACCCTCTGCCGCCTCCGGTCCTCTTGACTATGTCTTGACACCGGACTCGGGGAGGAGAAGGAGAGCGAGTGCGGTAGATGCTGTGCAAGTCTAGTGTCACGATAAATCACGCACAAGTCACCGTGCCCGTTCTCAGCCTGCTGTGAACACACGGTAGACATCGTCGAAACCAACGGCCGAACTGTAATATGTGGCACGCCTTATAAAACGTGCTGTGAGGTTTCCACGATGCGCCACCATTCGGGGTTTGAGATGCTCTCACCTTATATGTCATTACTCAATCTCAACTCGAACTGAGGACCAGGCAACAATGGCTGCTAACTGAAAACCTCGTTTGGCGCCTGTGCCACGCAAATAGAGTAGGCGGGCTAACTCATGAAATGTCGGCCGAAATTTCAAAATGCGTTTTCGTTTCGAAAAGATTAATTAAGTATGGTTGTAAAATTAATCACCGTCCAACATACAGTGCGTGACTAATCTCATGAAATGTTGGCTGAAATTCTGAAATGCGTTTTCGATTAGGAAGGATTACTTGGTCTCGGTTGTGATACTGATTATCTTATGGCATACTCTTATAACATTTTGGACTCGGCAGGATGTCGGCTTTTGGATGCACTGATTTTTCATCTCCTTTAAAAAGCGTGCTCGGTAAAAAGTGACTACTTAAGTAGCATGCATTTTTTCCATTGATTTTCGATGGTCTTGGAAATTCAAATATATTTTATAAAAACCATAAACAAAAATATGTTTTCTTTTAGTCAATCAATAGAGAATCACGTCTTCTTTATATTTCATACTTAAGGAAGGGGTATAATTAGGTTTCAAAAACGTTTTCTAATTGCCGAAAAATTTGGAGCCTGATCATTCGTTGCATTAGCGCTTAGTGATTACACTCTACAAGGTGCATGCATTCCGCGTAAAGAAAATCCCATATTTTTCTATGTCATTAAAGAGGTATTATACAGGGTCCATAAAATTTTGCAATGGATGCGGACCATGTTGTACATTTCATGAGGAGCAGTGGTAAATGGCCAGGTACGATGCTATGTGAATGGACATTTCGCGGTCTTAAAAAGACTCATATTTAGAAACTTTTTTAAAACCTAATTATACCCCTTTCTTAAGTATAAAATATAAAGAAGACGTGATTCTCTATTAATTGACTAAAAGAAAGCGTCTTTTTGTTTGTGGTTTCTATAAAAGACATTTGAATTTCCAAGACCATCGAAAATCAATGGTAAAAATGCATGCTACTTAAGTAGTCATTTTTTCCCGAGCACGCTTTCTACAGGAGATTGAAAAGAAGTGCATTTAAACGCCGACATCCTGCCAAGTCTAAAATGTTATAAGAGTATGCCTTAAGATAATCAGCATCACTACCGAGACCAAGTAATCCTTCCTAATCGAAAACGCATTTCAGAATTTCAGCCAGCATTTCATGAGATAGGTCACGCACTGTAATTCTTCAATGATCCGGTTACCTCAGGGTGCCTTCTTTCGAACTGACTGATTTGCGACTGCATGCAATAGTTATACTCTGCAAAAAATGACTGCTTAAGTAGCATGCAATTTTCTCATTGCATTTCGATGCCCTTAAAAGTTCAAATATATTTTATGGAAAATATGCATAAGATATTCATTCTTCTATTTATTCGGTAGAAAACTACGTCCTCTTCTAGTTTTGTACTCGAAGCAGGAATATGATTTGGTTTCAAAAAAGTTTCTGATTGTGAGATTTCTAAATACCGTGAAATGGCCATTCATAAAACGCATGTCTCTGCATTGACCAATGTGGCTTGTAAAGTTATCAATATTGCTCAAATCCACTGTTTAATTTTATGAACCCCATATGGTCTCCTCTTAATACCGTAGAGAAATGCATGGTTTTCCATATGCAGAAAAGATAGGGCCTGTAGTTTGGAAACCCTGAATGAAGATGTAACGGCAGGTCGGGTTAAAAACTATTCGGAAAAAGTTTTTTAAAACCGAATAATACTCTTTTTTCGAGTATAAATTCAGAAGAAAAGGTGATGTTCTACCAAATAAGTACAGAAATGAATTTTTTACGCATTTTTTCATGAAATATGATTGAACTTTAGAGGGCATCGAAAATCAATGAGAAAATTGCATGATACTTAAGTAGTCATTTTTGCAGAGTATCGTTCTTGCATGCAGTCGCAAATAAGTTCGCTCGAAAGAAGGCACCCTGAGGTAGCCGGATCGTTATATAATTATGCTGGACGATGATTAATTTTACAATCATACTTAATTAATCTTTTCGAAACGAAAACATATTTCGAAATTTCGGCCGACATTTCATGAGTTAACCCACCTACTGTAGGAGTTGTCTAATTTTGCCAGCCACTGCGTACGCGCGCCCACCTCTGGCTGTTTGGACTTTGTTTTGCCATCGGAAGACGCAGGACGTCGAGGGGAGGGGGGTGAGATAGATGCGTTGAAAGTCCGTCTCACTAAAAGCAAACTTGCGCACGATTCGCATTCGTGCTCGCCTCGTAGGGTAACCGTGAACCTCGTCGCCGCTACGTCGGTCAAGCTATCGCGTGGGTGCGTGTGTGTTTGCGCACGAGCACCTACGCCTTCAATAAAGTTGATGGAGCCTGGATTGTTCTTCTCTTTTTGTTCTCGTCCTCCCTCTTTGCCTGTTCTAACTTGACGCCTAATCAGCTACTGTGACAGCCGTGACGTCTGTTGCGACGTCGCACGCCACAACTCTAGCCTGATGATAGCAACCGGCAGTGAGAAACTCTCATTCAGGTAATACCCTTGGCGTTCTTGTTCCCCAGTGCAGAGACGCACCAGATCAATGCTCTGTGCACTCTCACAGCCTAACACACTCCACTTGTAAGCCAGATCACTCAAGTGTGAAACTGTGCCGGGCGCCTGATCCGTAGTCATTCGCCTACGCACGCCTAACACCCGCAAAACACACAGACATGCAGTTCCAGCAGTGAACCCTCCCCCCCCGCCCCCAACAGTTCATCGTGATTTTACGCTTCACTGCCTAAAAGCCTGCGCTGGCAGTTCATTTTCTGGATCTGCAACAACTGATCCGGAGAGGAGTGGGAAGTTTGAGAGGTCTAGGAAAGGTGTCGATGCTGAGGCCTCTGTTTGTCTCATTCTGCTTGAAGAATCTTCGGTCTAGAGCTTAGCTTACCGTAACAAATCCCTAGAATTCATACATGTTTTGGCAGATTTTAAATAATTAATATTGACCCAACTGTGGAAAACTCGGCGCCTCGATGGGTTTCGAACCCACACAGTAAGGGGAAGGCTTTAGTACAGCTAACGCTCTAATCACTTGTGCTACGAAGCCCTGCCGGACGACGCGAGTTCAATCACATTTGGGTCAAATTACCCGCCCAACTTACTGCAGCGTCTGGAATCCACCAAATATGATACAGTAAGTTGACTGCCCAGGCAGGATTTCCCAATCAATTCACCTAGAATCCACCAGATGGCTACCAGGCTCACAGTTGGGTCAATATGAAAAATCCCTAGAAGTATGAAATTTCTCTGAGGTAGGGTGTAAACAAACGACCCAAACAACCAGGAAAAGTAACGGAACGTGGGTTGAACCGTTGATTGTCTTGGCCAACATCAGGTGATCTATCTCTGGAAAATCGCAACCACACTTACCAACCGCCGCGTGAACTAACCGTTATTCCCGTCGCAGTGACTAGGAATGTAGGATAACTAGGGTTTGGATGAGATTGTAAGTGAAACCCAAGCAAAATAATTAGCCACGTGCCGTCACCGCGGTCACGGTGGGTCAAATTGCCGAGTAATTGTCACGCCAAGAATCAACAACGGTGATGAAATCACTGCCATTAACAAGTACTCGATTACGAACCGACAAGCCATCATCGAATCAAACACGACCCCCCTCTCCCCGGGGGGGGGCATGAACGCGAGTGTTGCTAAGTCTTGTAGCCGAGCCACTGTATCCTATAAATACTGCTCCCCTTGTGCGACTACAATCCCATTTTACGACTGTCTCTGGTGACGAGTTCGAGTGAGAATCCAAAACGTCGGGCCGACGAACTTACTGCTCTAGTCGCATCTTCTTCTTTCGAACTCATCCATTGGCTTTTATCAGCAGCTGTTATTTCCGTGGGATACTTTAAGTTTGGAAGACTGGTTCTTTGAGATTGTAAGGGAGCCCTGTTGGACAGAGAAGACCATCGCTTGTATTTTATACTACGTGGCGAAGAGAGAGGCTGGCCGAACACAGTAATAACTGGATAATTTTTTGGAAATTTCTAATTGGTTCAAAAGTCTATCGTGAGATATGACAGTGGTCGTAGATGGAGTAATGACTTGTCACCTATTCTGCTACTGCCGTTATCGCTGACGATGAACTCCTGTATGAATCAATAAGTTGAGTCCGGTGCTCGATAAGTGTCCCCCTTCCTTACTCGCAAATGTGCCTGTAAGTCAAACACTTGCCTCCATTCATTACTAAAACGTGCCAGTTCGAAGTTGATGTAGTCCCACATCACATCAGAAAGCGTAGTGGGATATCTAACGAGCACTTGGTGAATCAAAATTAGGCCTATTAGGTCATATTTTAAGTGCCACTTGCTGTCGCCGTGAATGTCTACCGTGAGCCCCTCAGCATGCGAGTGCTGCGCGAGGACTTGCGCGTGAATCAATTTTTGCTGGTAACAGACTTGCATAGTGTCCGTCGCACTCTCTCCTCCCCCACCAACTTGGGCTCGGTGGCGAGATTGAGTCAGGACGGCCGGAGGCGGGATCGGGCGCAGTGACTGACGAAGCCAAACAACCCGTCTACGCGGACCACACACGACCCGATCCGCGCGCGACGGACTAGACGATGTAGTATTTGAAGGGCAGCTCACCTGGCACCTCCCCCCTCAAAGTCTATGCAGTGTGTGCAAAAATTCCTTTAACCTGAGGAGGACCCCTTCGATTTCCTACCAAACACAGAAGATGACCTCAGCGTGCTTGTTACAGCAACGAGAATAAATACTGCTAGTTTTACCTCGAGGCCTGTGTGGACTGTAAGTCTGGGGTCCCAATACAGAGCGGAATTGTTCTTTTCCGCGAACCGCATTGTCATGTGGCACTGCCGACTGCCGATTACGGCCGGCAAAACCTGGACTCGGTAGCCAAGCGGGTAAGAGCTCTTGTTCACATACCCGAATAGCAAGACTTAGCGAGGCTTTCGCTCCATGTCCAACAGACTCGGACTTCGAATCTCGCGTGTGCAACCCAGGAATTAAGCTATCACTGGCTGACGACGTCAAATAAGCCAGAAATAGTCAGCCCAACGTCACTCACTGTTATCCGTATGATGAGTCATTCCGTGTGTAAATACTTCTACACCATTTAACACCAGTCGCCATGAGACCACCTGAGCGGGACTTGAAGACCGTCAGTTTGAAAGCAAAGCGGAAATTCTCAAGTTCGTCCTGTAATTCGAATAGATCTGACTAGACACCCAATCATCTCTCGCAAGGCCGTTAGTGGGTGTACAAACGTCTAAGGTTGTGTTGCCCTTGGCTAGTGACGGCTAATAGGCCAGAAATGGTGATTCTGAGGCCCCCTAGGGTGGACCCAACCCCTATGGAACTGCGCTTTTCTGATCGCAGTCGACGGAGCCTGCACCAGTAGTCCAAGGAGTAAGAGCAAGTGTGCTCAGATCGTCGTAGTCGGACAATGACGGAAATGGGCGAGAGATAGCAATCTTTGTAACCCATCCGAGCACCGAAAAGATACTGTGCTATGTGAACTTTTTGTGAGTTTCTTTTTTGATCATCTGGGGACGATATCAATTATAATGAAATACACTATGAACTTTCTTAGATTGACAAAAATGATTATTTACCGATTGCATCAAAGAGGGGTTTTTGGCGGTCCAAATAAGAAGGCTACAGACTTCGTTAAGACCGCAAAATCCACTTTCTTGGGCAAAGGAGACGAGGATGCTCATTTCCGGTTTATTGGCCGTTATCGGTCAGCCGTACCCAATGAAGTTCAGTTATAGGACATACAGGAAGGTGAGAATCGCCTAATTTTCTGCCGGCAAGGTGTTCACAGATCAGGTTACAGAACACGCTTGTTCCGTTGCGTCTTTGAGATCAATCTGGAGCCCATGTAGGCAATCAAAGTCCGACCAGTCATATGTGCAGGGACGGACGAGCAGATCCCACTACCTGATTGGAGGACACGTTTTCACGATAGCGAACCATCCCGATTGCACTCGATGAGGTGGCGAGCCCATGGGCTAATAATAGAACGTTGAAAATGACGCTGAGTTGCCATAAGATGCGGGCGCGAATTCCGAACGTCCAAAAAAACCTGGCAATTCATTCTGTCTTTGATGATGGATTTGAGTGAGAATCCGAAACGTCGGACTAAAAAAGCGTTTGTTCCAGCGAACGTGTCCCCCTATTTGGGCATCTACACACGCTAGGCTTTGCAAACATATCCTTAGAAAGTTGTGTGAACCGTATGGAGGTTCTCCTTCCAGCTCTCCGAAATCTTACCATCGAATGAATACTTTACAGGATAAATGTGAATTCTTTATGAGTTTTCCAAAAGATAAGACATGTTATAGGCAAGGTTAAGGCCTATAATGCTACTTTGCACAAAATGGCCTCGTGATGATATGGGCGTTTTATGGCAGAATGTGACGAATGAAACCCGACTTTGACGATGAACCTTAAAAGGGAGCGGTAGACAACCTTATCTTCCCTGCGCTTCATTCAGAGCATCCAGACAAAATCAAATAGCTCATGAAACCTTAACCGAAAGCTTTAAATGTGATTTCGGTTATAAACATTTATTAGCCTGCATCACTATCCCAGGACGTTTTAGCTACATCAGAATGCCGAATTTTGAATGAGGCGTCGGTCAGGTGTGGTTATGTAACCACACCTGAAGTAAACAAACGCCAGCCACTTTAATACGGAACTGGTGGTAGTGGGGTCTTTTTACAGGCGGGGCCGGGGAACGCACAGGCAACGAGGTCAAGTAATTGTATTTAAAAAAACAGCTATTGGGAATGCGCTTTTGTAGTGTGAATTATTGAGAAATGGTTGCCCTAACCCTTAACCCTAACCCCTTATGCTTACCCCTTAAACCATGGTCCCCAACCCTAACCTCAACCCGAACAGTACTGTGTCCATCAGGTGGAGGTACATAACCACATCTTACCTGAGACGCTTTCTCGGCTACCTTCGAGATTCACATCCACTAAAAGGACTACTTGAGTAGCATGGCTTTCTTCAATCAAATTGCGGTGTCTGTACAAACTTAAGCATATTTTATAGAAAGTGGGCATGAAATATCCGTTGTTGTACGAATTTTGTAAGGTCACACACTTCTTGCTCATGGGAAAGGTATCTTTTGACTCCACGAATGTTCGTAAGGATGAAGATTTTAAAGGCCAAGAAACGTGAATTTAAGTAGCATCGTGTCTGTCCGTTTATAAATGCTGTTCTTGGAAAATGCAACGTGATCTACATCCGCCGAAAAATTTCGTGATCCTCTAGGTGAAAATG